TAAAACCACGTTACATAATTTGGATCACTAATGGATTCTGAGTGAATGTTGAACATTTCCAGATAAACGTGACTTAGCCACGTTAGAACACATTGTTAACCCATTTCGATCTACGATCTATCTTAGCGCGGTTATTGATGTGTCTGTAGAACCCAGATAAAAAATCTGACAAACGTTCTGAATGTGGTCGGTTTAGAAAGAGTCCACTGAACCATTGTAGATTAATAACGCCGTTGATTTATTCCGCACAGTGGTTCAGCGCCTGATTTCTACATCTTATCTGGTTTCTGTTCTGGTTGCAAGGTAAACATATCAATAAAAGGAGACAACCGTTGGCTTTGTAAGCAAGTACGGTATATCCGGTGATGCCATATCCGGCGATTTTTTGCGATGGTCACCATCAGAAGGGCTTTTCTCAACCCTTTCCCCATGGGCAATGGTCCGGCTGCGCCTTGCCTATACAAAAAGCAAAGTAAGTCGGCTACGTTGAATAAGGGGCAAATGAATGTTGGTTGGACAAATTCATGCCTAAAGCAGGCGGCTTCCCGGAGTTTTTTTTTCTCGGGTGGTGTGGTATAACGGAAGATAACTCGGAAAAAATGTTATTGCAGAAGCCCAATACATGTTTTACACACCAATAAATAGTAATAATGATCCATGAATATGCTGCAAAGCAGCCATACGATCAGTCCACAGTCATGCGGGAGACAACCGGGCCAGGGCAGAGGCCGCCGATGGCGGACGGGAGCAGGGCCCAGGTGAAGAATATATGACAGAAGGGCTTTCATTCTGGCAAGGACTTGGTTTTTTGTGGGAGAATCTCTACTTTTATGGTTTTGTCACAATATTTTTATCAGATAGTATTTGAAACTTCCCAATTTGTTTCCGCCTAAAACACTGAAATATATCATATCTTTTGAAATGCAGCCCGCGAAATCTAAGCACATAACAACTCTGGCGCATTACGAGCCGTCGATTCGCATTCAAAATTCTGACCAGTTTATGTCCAGGTCGCATTTTGACACCTGTCCTGTGGGGAAACGCGCCTTCCCAATGACACAAAATACGTACCCGCTCGTGAGATTGCGCTTCTCCAGGGAAAACAATGTTGAAATGGAAGAATAATCTTGAGGAGCTGCATAGTCTTATTTGTCGAACGGCGGAGGTGACCCGAACAGGCGGGATTGTGCACCAGTGATAAACAGCTGTAAATGTGTATCTAGCATGGCAACCATGACGTTTAATTACTTGAGCGGACAACAACCTCAATCTCTACCACCACCACTATCTTCAATCTTCTCGCGCCGACCACTAGGCTTGCTTCCCAGAAAAGTTCCTTAAGTATACCCTGAGCCTGGCCCCACTCATCCCCTTTTGAAACGCTCTTACACCTATGGTCACGTATGCCGCCTATGCCACGTGCACCTCGGTTCGAAGCCGGGTCCAGGTGTTGTGCAACAGTTTTACCATTTATCACCGTTGATTTTGCACACCTTGTGTAAGGTTTCAGTGCACCGTGTTCACATACGGATGGACTGAAGGGTGAAACTAGGCGAAGTGGGGTGCTTGACGGGTGTCTCCACTTGGGTGCGAGGCTTTGTGTCCCACGTCACATGCGCATCTAGGTGTTTTTTGCTCGGCTGTGGTAGTCCTTCGGGAGAAGAGCACCTGGTCTCGTATTTGCGTATTAATCAACTCAACGACAAGTGTTGGGGTCTATATTTTGTTCGTGCACACAAATGTAGACCACCCGGTCATCAACTGGTAGCGTTGCAGTCTCGGGAAGCAGCACGAGGCAAAATGAATGCAAAATCGTACGCCTCTCTTACTTAATAAATTCCACTTCGAACGTTCCCTAGCAGCTGAGTTGCCAGGCGAACACGACCGTCGCTAACTTTGACCATCATGCAAAACGACGCTTCCGTCGACAGTCTAGGGGGAGTGCTTCGAAATGCACACAAGCTGGGGACACCAGTTAATTGATAACTTTTTGAGGCAGACTTGTGGTTGGGCCGCACAATCCAGTTTATTCGCAATTCAGCGCCTAGTTTTATGAACTTAAACGTTTTTTAGTGCATGTATGGGTATACAAATACAGGCACTCAGCTATGCGCGTTTTTAATCGGTCTTCTCACCTTCCTTTTTTTATCTCACCACCCCCCGGTCCCGAAATTCATATGGCCACGCTGACTTACTTCAGCAAACAATGTGCAGTATGCATTTGAAGGTTCACTCCATGTGCCCCGCCACACGGGCGGGAGACTAGTGAACGCAGGTGGTTCAAGAGGTCAGAATGGTAGCGGGATTGACGATCGGTCCATCCCGTCCAGTTTTTGTTGCGCTGCGTTACGACGTGATGCGCTGACAGACGGGGAGGAATGGAACTTAAAAGTAGCAAGCGCGACCAAAATCATGCGCACCTTAATAAAGCAACCCATCGGTGACCCTCTGGCGGTCACGCACAGGTCAGAAACTTTAAATTTTCGCTACAGGCGTGAAATGATGTAAGCCCATGCACCAAAATGACATCACCGTACATAAAACCGTTCAGAAAATGCTCTAGAAAATCCTGGGGAACTCTGAGACGCACCGCGCAGGTCGAGGATTAAAAAAGAAACAGAACGACCGCCGTGCTGTAGTGGCGTACGACATACTGCCACCCTAACATCACGGCATTGTTATTGCCGTTTGCCAGCGACATGAGCCAGAATCAGAAGCCAGAGCGACCCATCAGGTCTCCGATCGGATTCACTGTCTGTCGCTCGTCAAGTTCTACAACAATGCAGGTGAGATTTGGATACTGACTCTTCCATCTTCTCACGCACCGGCCGACCGTCGCTAGGGCAGGCGGGTGCTGACCGCAAGCATCCCACAAAGTCTGGGAGCAAATCCACCGACAACGGGCATTGATAGACTCATGGTCAGAGTGCATTCCTTGAGATTCTTAAGCTGGTCCAAAAGCAATCTGTTCAAAGGCTGCAAAAACATATCTGCCACGTCTATACAAATCACCAGGTAGTTGGCACAAACCGCTAGATAGATGGCACACGCCAGGTCACCCCACCTGCAATCGACCTCACTGCAGGTGATAACATCGGTAGACTCGTACTCCTGGCGAAAGCAATAATATTCCCCACCATGTAAAAGTCGTAGTGCCGTTTAAGGCATGTGAGCCGTCAGCCATTTTTTAAATGGAGAACGGCCACAATCGTCATTGTTGGAAATTGATGTAATGTATAGCTAACTTTAGCAGAGGCTTTGGAACTGCGTACAGAAAAGCATTTTTGAGCATATAGTTACGGAGCTATATCGAATTGAGGTGCACACTAAAATTAATTTCAAAATACAATCCAGACACCAAAAATTCACCTATGGGTGTCTTAACTGTCATGCTGAACATTGTCATTGTCTTGACAGTGTCATTGTCGTTGTCATAAACATTGTCTTGCTGATGCGCTCATTCAATATTTTGTATAAGCTGTACGAAATGGGCAGCGTTATTTATTTTTAGTTTATTGAAGACATTTAGTTGTGTTGCGTTATTATTCCAGAAAGCATTAATAGGGGCTAAATAATTGTTCTGTAAGATACAAATTACAAATTTTGAGCAATTCGAAGATCACCACGAACTGCTCACACCTTCCACAGAGCCCCATTAGGGAGACGCACAGCCGTTGCTTTGCCACGGCGAAACCTGACCGTCACCCAACCTTCACGCACCCTACGAATCCCTCCAGCCACTCCGTCACAGCCACTGGCATACCAGGGCACGATGGGAATGCAAGTGTCGGCATTAACTTGCGATAATTGTGCCGGGTGCCTTCGAGCGCACTTTGTTTATCACTGTTTACCAATTATCTATGGAACAGCGATAAGTATATTGCTAATCTGGGAGTGTGTGCCTTATCTGGTAATTGGAGCATTTATTTATGCATGAGCTAATTTGCAGGAGGAAGTACCGTAGCGTGGACAGTATAGAATATACCAGATGTACCTGGGTTAGTTACAATCTTCAAACTTGGATTTTATATTACCGCAGATGAATTCATCGGTGAGACGCATTTTTTCTGACCCCCATGTTGATGCTTTTTTTCCGTGGTCAAAATAATTCCCAAAGAACTCCCCCCGACTGGCACCAATTCCTGCATGACTGATGCTCTTGTGGCGCGTTATCTAGTGAATATTTGCGTTAGAGTCACATTCACCACGAAATCAAGACTCATCACAAATTTCGGTGAATCAGGTTTTTCGGAACCCTCGCTTTCCACGTGGCTCAGAATCCTATTTGATATTATTCATACAATCTGAATCAATTTCATTACACATAGCAGCCAGTGAGAAATGCATGACTGCATACCTGGCGACTAGTGGGAGCTAAGTTGTATGCTTAAAACTAATCACAACAGCTAATGTGCCATGCCGACAATTTTGTAGCTTTGCGAAGCATTTCAGGGATCGCAGCTGCCAAACCTTTCATGGCTATTTAGTGCGGGCTAAACTTTATTTGTACCGCAAATAAACAGTAAACGTATGCACGTTGATCGTTTCAGAGAAACACCAGACGTGTATACGTCCAGGGGCGAGGTATTTCCCTCACATACACGCACAGAGTCGACTAAGTGTGACGAATGAATCACGATGACACTGTTTCCAGTTGTTTTGAAACGTGTGCTTATGGTATGTTGTATTGTCGGCGTTTATTTTTATTCGAATCTCGTTGGTTCGACTACTGATACTGGCGCAATTTTGCTTGATTCAGAACCAGAGACAAAATATGTCATATTAATTTGCTTGAACTTGCACTTGATCTAAACCACTATTCAGCCAGCACAATTGATTCGAATCATAACTTGGCGTGGCTGCATCGATCTGTTCCGCATTCACGACTAATTTGTAATTAAATGTCTGTGTGTCTTCTCTCTGCTTGTTATGTGCAGAAGGGGGGGGGGGGGGGGGGGGGTGGGGACTCCGTCACTAAGTCCTGCGTCCCACTTCGGCAGCGCTACTTCCATCCAGCAGAACAACCACCGCAACGTGTCGCTACTCCTGGACAACCTCCTCAGCGGCTACGACAACAGTCTGCGGCCCAACTTTGGAGGCGAGTCTCCCCGGTGGTCCCGATAGCCGCAGCAACAGATTTCGGCCCCAGCTCCGACCGCTGTTTACAGCATGCCGCCGGCCAGAGCGGGCCGTGTCCGTCTTGTTTCGTTTATCAGCCATCACTGGGGTACAATCTAGGACAGCTTGATGTAGAGGCGGATGGACGAGCGCGGAAAACAACGATCCATTTCTCGGCCAGGGCACTTAACTGAAGCCTTCGTCAATAGGGGAAGCAACGTGTCCACGAAAGATGAAAGGCAGTCTTAGTGATAAATGTTTAGACACGGTTTTCGCATATTGACCAAATCTATCAGCTTGACGCAGTCTATGAGCGCACTTATAGTTGTTGGCACTACTTCCAAATCAGTCATGACAAAGCGCAGCTGTTGATTGGTGACTGAAGTAATCAACGACGCTCTCCTTTCAGGCCCGCCGACCTTGGTTGAGATAGACATCATGGTTAAAAGCATGGGACCCATCTCCGAAATCGATCTGGTAAGGCGGCAAATGACAACTAGTTAGCATATTTTATTGTTTTACCAGGTGCGAGAACCACTCACTCTCAGCGCTGTGTCCGCACTCAGTTGACAATTACCTGGCTGGCAGAAAATTACTTTTTTGACGTAAAACCAGCCTGGAGACGATTCGTCCCCACATTCAGACGGTTGATGCTGAAAAATGAATCATTAGTCCAGACACCTACAGCTGACTTCTTCATATAAGTACCAGCCATTTAGCTCTTGGCTCCCTGACGATATAAGTTTTTAATTTGTGGGTAGCAGCCGATCTCAAATGCTTCACAAGATGATTTAATAACAGTATCAAACAACCGCTGTGATTAACACCGTGCACATGACCATGTGTTCTACTTTGGAGGGAGTGTGCCACCTTTGAGACATATTTCAAAAACATGGCCTGATGATGCCTAAGAACCAGCTATGTCCGCTGTTCAGTAAGTTTTGGTGATACCTCAGAACCAGCTACGTCTGCTCTTCAGTAATTTTTGACGATACCTCAGAACCAGCTATGTCTGCTCTTCAGCAATTTTTGGTGGTACCTCAGAACCAGTTATGTCTCCACCTGAGTAATTTTAAAATCCAAATCACGCAGCGAACCTTTTGTCACAGCACTACACTTTAATATTTGTAGCTTCGGAGTTCAGCCCTAGCCCGCAACAAATAATTGACGACGGCAGAACTTGCGGCGAGCCGTTGTCAGCTGCCATAAACTAGAAGAACCACTTTTGAGCTCCTTTAAACCGCACATCGCAGGCATGCACTCTAAAAAGTGGCACATCTACTGGGATGAATAATATCAGTAGAAATGAACGTCTATTATTGGTACATCGGGCGGCATTTACATAAGCCAATAGCAGAGCATTTGTGGAAGTTCCAACCAGTGCGTCGCTATAGTCATGCGTGATGCGTTTGTTTGCCAAATCCAAAGTGCGCTTTTAAAAAAGCGACTGTGCTAAACGCCTTAGACTGAAAATCAAGTCATAGAAGTGAACTTTCAAAGTGGTGACCAGGGATTTCAATGGAATGTCTACAGTCGGAGCAGCTACGTCAGATATACATTTTGAGTTTCTCAGAAGTTTTCGGTAAAATCGGTGTTGTCGATCAAATGGGACGCGCCTAAATGCAACAATATGTGAAAAGTATGAAACAATGGCTTACTTCCCATAAAATGCTGAGTTTCCACAATATATTCTAATGATCATCCTATGCTCCCGTTTAACTAGTATCCCCGGGCGCCTTATAGGTCATCATTTTTACACAATAAACGTGGCGCATTTCTAAAAATGGCAGTTTCGTGAGACACATAGGCACATTTGATCTGCAAACTTAACTAACTTTGACACGCTCCCGGGTAGCCGGTTGAATGCCCTTCGCTCGGTTGAGCGTCAATTTGCCCCCCTCCCCCGAGATCCCAGCACCTAAGAGAACTGGAAACACCAGGTTCGCAGGATGTGTTGGCCTGTATGTGAACCCACTTGTGTCAACATTTGGGTTCATAGGCCATGACCGTCTTCAGATAAGGTCAGACAGAGTCAAACTATAGATTGGTTTCCAAAGTGCTCGCAGAACCTAGATGCCTGTTAAAGATCAGTGGCCTTGGTTGACCGTTCGCGGGTCTTGGTGACCAAGCTCATAAGAGAATGCCCTGAGTTTTGCATTTGAATAAGCGTCAGAGGTTACGCCAGACAGTATGCTCCTAAAAACAAAATGTTGAACTGTGACATTTTAGGTCGGTGACCTATTCTCCTATTCTGGCCTTTAAGAGGTCCATGGGAAATGTATAATACGTTTCCTGTCATCAATAAATTGGAAATGAACGCCAGAAACTAATCCATACAGCAAGGTCGAAAGTGATAAAACAGGTTGGTTTTTACCTTGGTCTGACCTTCATACCTGACCCTGGGTCAATAAAATGTATTGATCCAGTTGTTGTGATGTCTAAGAGACTACCTTAGAGATGTTTGCTTTCGTCTAACACTCCCTTTTGCATGAGATCGAACGATTTCCTAGAAACTGTTGTCGCTAAATCCATAACGTGAATTTGACCTGCCGTATGTCAACGACCTTGGAATGTAAATCTAAATTTTTCGTTTCAAACGATCCGCTATTCAATTGCCTGTAGCTTTAAAAATTTGGCGTGACTGCGCCGCGCCGTTCGGAAACCATTCTGGAAAACCTTCGAGGGGCCAACTTGGCCCCCCCCCCCACCCCCACCCGGGCGCGTGCTAGCAACTCAAAGCCTTCCGTCTAACCACAAATTCGTGCTCGGCAGTAACAGCATGAAGTTTGAAGGCAGCGACTGTCGTGTGGGTAAAGTTGAATTATGCGTGCAATGACGTGAACAGCGATGAATCTTTTCATTTTTTTTCATTTAGCGCAAATCGTTTGATCATTTTTGTAAAGAACTTGGCAAGCTACGGCTATAACGTCGAAGCTATTTTCGCTGCGGCTCGCATCACAAAGGCTGGGCAGAGCGTTTGGGCGCCTCGATGGCCCGATGGTTTTTCGCCGAAAGCCCTCTGCCCAAGCCTAATCGAAGATGCTCAGCGCGCTGAAATGCTGAGCACCTCCATTCGCCTTTTACGTCTTTTGTGAACATTTTGACCAAATGTTATGCAAAGGTACTGATTCATGTCAGTCGTGAAGTCAAGAACAAGACCTTTCTCACCGCTTGCAACCTTTTTAAGGGGTGATCCGGCTCTTCTAAATCCTGCAGGAATACTAGAAAATAGCAAAACTCACCATTCTCGTATTTTGAACATTTTGGAAGAATGTGTATCACTGATTTGAATGCAGATTATTTCCGCCCCTCTTCAGACTTAGTATTCATTTCACCAGTTGTACATCCTGTGGATTCCCAGATATTATGAGTATCAAAACTCCTCACATACGGCACAATCACATTACTAGAACACCCCTGGCCTTGGGTCAGTTGGTCGTCCACCGATGTGGGTGCATGCCATCTCCAACGACTTATTTGCCCAGAGTAAGAAATGTTTCATCCTTCACGGTACAAAGAAACGCTAAATTCAAATTGGCCTTCCGGAACGCGTAAAAATGATGTTCATCTAAATAGGTATTTCCTGGGACGAAGGGCCACATGCGACCAATACATTATACCGTGTACAAGTTTAAATTATCCGATGCTGATCATGTTAGAGGGAGTGTCCCACATTTCTATAGGGGCTTTGAACTGAAATAGTCTGAGCTACACACGTCTGTGAAGATGCAGAGACTTTCGTGGTGAGTATTTCGAGGTCACCTTGTTATTCATGATGTGCGGCTATCAAGTTCAGGAAACAGTGTAATGGTTGAATTGTTTATATCTGGCGTTCGTGAGTACGACTTCCAAATATAACGGCCGTCAATTGGTTCTCCATCAATGTTGTGCAAGGTACGATGGCGTTGTCAAACAATAACTACCGAGGAGCATGTTTACTGAATAGAAAAACAAATGTGTTATCTAGAGCAGATTTTTCACTCATAAGTATATCAATAGTTACCAGTGAGCTTGTTTCATCATACATGGTACTTGCTTCAATATTTTCAAATGTGAAACTTCCTCTTAAAATGGAACGAAAGGGAACATTCCCTACTCCACCATTACAACAACTCCGTTCCACCGCGGGGGGGGGGGCGCCCAGGCTCAGAGCAGCAGACGCCAACAGATGTGTCAAGGTCAACCCCGTCTGGCGCCGGCTTTGGCTCTGACGCGCCTCTTTCCGCTGCCGTTCGAGCGGCTCACGGTCCCGAAGCCAGAGCCGAAGCGGGCACCAGCACCGGACGGGGGTTGGTGGCTGGGCCGTGTCGGCCGCTGAGGTCAAGGCGGGCTTGGCACGCTGACACCGGGTCACGGGTGCTGAGCGGCCGACAAAGACGCCACCTCAGCGTGCCAGGGCCACACGGTTGGCAAACGGGGAAACACGTCAGCGCCTGGGCTGCGCCAAGTCTGGCACCCGACGAGCCGCTGCCGGCACCTCTGTCAGCTGCTCATCCCCCTGCCCCACCGAAAGAGCGACCTGTGTGAGGACCGCCACGTCTGGCGTGAGCAGACCAAACCACCGGCCACCTAAACGTCCCCGGCTTTGTCAGGCCCCCTCTTCCCGGTGAGCTGGAGGGCGCGTGACCGATGACCCGTCGGGCGCGGACAGAGCGGAGCCTCGTCGGCGGCCGCTCTCATCAGGACCCCGTCGGCGGGGCGGCGATAACACCTCACCGCGCAATGCCCGCCGGCGCCCGGCGCGGTGCGAGCCGCCATCGCGGCCGCCGGCCAGTGATTGTTCGTGGCCCTTGCCGTGTGAGGCGCCTGTTCCATGGCTTCGCCGTGCGAGCGGCCGCACACCAACGCCGTGCGGGAACGGTAATCACGGCAACGGGGCGGGGGGGGGGGGAGGGGGCGCCGTCGGCGCGGCCGCCGTGGGGCCGAGGCTCGTCGGCAGGGGCGGACGGACGGACGGCGGCACGGCGTGGGGAAGGGGGAGCAGGACGGGCCTGAGGCACACCTGGAGGAGGGAGAAGGGAAGGCGTGAATGCTTTGACTATGTTTTTGCCATGCCGTCCTCAGATCTCGCAGGGATCTAGTTCCTTTTCGGTCCAACGCACAAGATGCATAGGAATTTGTTGCAGTGCGGAATTACCGGCATCGGCTATTTAAGCGGCTTAGTAGTCTCAATAGTCCTGTGTTCAGATCTGATAAAGAGTCCATCTATATGGTAAATTATAATCAGCTTAGGCTTCACTTTTAAAAAATGAAGCCAGAAAAAAAATATGATCAGCCCTCCTCTAGCAACTTTGCTGAACTCCACTCCACCTTTCGTTAACAGGGCTCAGTCCGCGCACGTAGCCGAGGGGAGAGGGAGAGGCATGGGGACATGTCCATCCCCGGTCAATGAGACATACACCAGGTGGTTCGTGACTTGGCAGAAGTTTGATCCAAATCTGTAGGAATTCTGAAAACATTTTACATGTGCGGTGAGG